TTAACCGCAAAATTTTTGTGTAATAGTGTTAAACTTTCTGAGGATACTGTACGTACGTACGTACGTACATAGCTTTAGCGTTGCCAACAAAATTACGTATGATTAATCATCACATACTATATCTTACATGTATTTTTTATCAGGTGTTCCGGGAATTATGAAAGTAGCAGTAAAAAATTTTTTGACTATATTTACTATCCGGGTGATATTTTTTATAAGTTTATAATAATTTTTATATGCTTTTTTATATGAGAACCAAAAAATTAACTTTGTATGGCCTTAATATATTTTATTGTATTTTTATTTATTCTAAAGATCTAATCGATCGGTCTCTGAACACAATTCATTTACAATCTCATTATCATTTATTTCCCTGATTCCGCTATTACCACAAGATGATAATTCATTTACCCTGGTACTATTATTACATGATAGCAACTCGGTCATTTTTTTTGTTTTCACAAGATTATTCCAATTTTGACGGATATAACTTAACACATTTGCCTTCAGCCTTATATTTTCAGTTCTCCAAGCAATCTGAAGAATTTCATCCCATACGTCAACATTTATCATCTTTTCCATCTCCATTGCTACAAATTCTTCCAACTCTTTCACTTCATACATATTTGCCAACCTGATTAGATTTTTTGATTCATTCCATGATAAAACCGAATTTTCAGGTAGTTTCCCCGTGTAAATAAAGTAGATCAAGATGTTAAAATCTTCATATTGAACGTTCTGAACTCTGATCGTTTGAGGCTTCCGATTTTTATTAAAACCTCTTTTAAAAAAGGCAGATCTTAATCCAAGGATTAAACTCGAGGCATGAATTCGATTATGACAATCCAACAAAAAAATGATATCAGAAAATTCTTCATTGTTAAACTCCGATTCAAATGAAGTAAGAAATTTGGGATGAATAATGAACGGGATGCCCGTGATTCCATAATTTGGACAATAAAAATTCGTTCTGATCAAAATGTGCATATCGTGAATCGCGTTGTCATCAAAGATTATTTTAGAATCACAAAACTGTTGAATTCCATAACATGGATTTTCGTTAATTGTACGTATGAAATGTGCATACGGTGAATAGGATTTAATCATAATCGCCTGATTAGTTGAATCGTTGATGAACAATTCAAAACCAATTCTGACCAGTCTACTATAGATGTCATTATCATCATCAAATTTGTTTCGACAATATAAAATGAATAAAGATAGGTAGCCTTGCTCGTTAAACGATTCAAGCTTAAGTTGCCAAGGTGTACCAGGATCTGAAAGTTTAATGTTTGGATCCTTTATCGTGTTCATCGTTGTTGATGGAGGAGAAATAAATTCGTTGAGAAGCACCACATTATCTTTTTCATTTTTATAAAGACGTTTAAAGTCCTTGATTAACCAATCGTATGAAAAAATTATTTTATCACCTTCTTCATATCGATATATTATTTTATCGTCTTCTTCATATCGACATAACATCGTATCATTCTGGTTTATGAAATTTCGTTTAAATTTTTGCGGTTTATGGGAAAGGATAGACAGCATGTGCAATTTTGCTATTTATTGTTGTCATTCACCTTGTCATATGATACTACTAAGCGAAGCCGGCAAGCCTACTGGTTAGGAACACGAATTATGAATAAAAATGGAATTTTTAGCACAAATCGGCATAACACGAGATGTTTTTCACCGGAGACTTGGTAATGATAACGGGTTTGGAATCATGATTATTGAGCTGCTGTTTTAGTTTTAAACAACGGAAACGCATGAATAAGCTTTTATCGCATAGCATATGCGGTAGTATATTTCACAGAGATAATTTCGCGTAAGTATATAAGTATGAAGAAGGCATAGTCAAGTTGCAAGATCACCGTAATTTATAAACTTTTATGGTAAGTTACAAAACTCTGGTAATAATAGATTAATCAAAAGTTGAGAACTAATCGGTTTTATTTTTTGAAACAGAGTAATCGATTTGTTGACTAACCGATTAATATCGATATGTTTTTCTTACGTAGGGGGTGTTTAATGTGTAACTCCCACTAATCGGTCACAATTGCAATTATTGAAATTATTATTGATGTTTTAGAAAAACATTTACAGTATATGCACAATTTCATGGAGTCACTAAATTTAATCTAAACTAGGGTTTAGGGCACAGGGGCATGGGGCATGCCCTTGTCATGTGATGTTCAAAGTTATTTTAATTGACTAATAAGTTCAGGTAAAACTAGATACTAAAAATCAACATGCGAGATTTTTAAGAAGTTGTGAACTATATGTTAATCACATGATTAAAAAGGGCATGCCCATGGGCATGAGGGGCATGCCTTAGCTCAGGGGCATGCCTATATGGGCATGCCCAATTTTTTTCCCGTGCCCTGAACCCTAATCTAAACCCTTATTTGATTTGTTTTTATTGATCTGACGAGATTGTTTCGAATTATTGAGGGTCTATTCTGCACTATCCTACAAGGATTTAATGAGATCATCTAATCCATTAGACGGGGCCTACTAAAACATGCCATTTGATATTATTATTGTTAAACCTTCCGCCTCAAAAATAGTCTATTAATTGGCTAATAAGTTGTCAATTGTGTTGTCCTCCACTATCAAAATTTTTTGGGGTACTACATCTATTTACTATTGTAAAAAAATTGGAATTGTTGCACAGGTTCGGACATTGCATATTCGTGTAACATTTTAGAGTTAAGTCTGCGTGTAATCTAGCCTTATATAGTATGTTGTGTAACGGATGATCATGTGCTCTTTTGCATGTCATGTCTTTCCACGTGCTTTAACCTTATGACGTTCCACGTGCTTTTGCTACTCGCGAACCTTTGAATTAGATATATTACTTCAGAGATCAGCGCATACGTATTAGAACTTTTTTTACCTTTTTAATTTTTTTTCATTCACATATTTATTTACGTGAAATTACTTGAATTGAAAAAATAAGCGTAATGGACAACGTGACTGAAACACCTATTGAACGCAAGCATAGCGAACATTCATTGTGATTGGCTAGATTTTGTTGATCATCTTGTGATTTTATTTGCTGATCGACCAATCA